GTTATTCACTTATATGTATATACACATATATACACCTTGAGGAGGTAACTAGTCCCCCAGTTCGGTGGATATATATATATATATATACCTTCAGAACAAGGCAATATATTAATTTATATTTTACACCTACTTTCTTACGGAATCCACCTTTAGCGCTGTGTTATCACTTGCACAACCTTTTATTATTGTAGCGCCCATCACCTTCTGTGATGTGACTACTATGCATTTAGTGATAGCCAGGGCTACAGACAGCCTGGCTGGATTTGTAGTGGCGATTACGTGGTTAATCCCAGGTGTCTAGACTTGTCTGTACCTCCCTGGGCAGAGTGAGACTGTTATATTGTGGGACAGCCAATGGTGGATACTATAATGTGTGTACAGTAGCCAACCACTGGGCTTCTCTCAGCCAGTGGTGCCTGCTGGGAGAGTGTACATATTGGTGGGAGCTGCCATGTGCTCTCTCTAACCTGGACCAGCCATGGATTAGGGCTGGGTCCTGTTCAGCCTGCCCCCTTGGCTAGGCCAAGGCCTGGGGGTGGGCATTGGCTGATGTAAGGGAAAAGGTTTCCCTGAGGCCTCCAACATGGAGGCCTGAGAGATGGAAAGAGGGGAAAGAACCAGGACCAGTGCAGGCTCTTGAGGTTCCCTGGAATGATGTGGGCTTCAGAGCATGGTCGGTGTTTTTCTTGGACAGAGGATCTGCACCCATCTGGACTGTCTGGTACATCAGTGGCTATTGGATGTGGTTGGTTGGATCTGCAATGCTACTTTCACAAGATCTGGTGAGTCTGGAGCGGAGGATGGTTACCCCTAGAACCCCTATACTCCCTAAGAAGATGTTCAATAAAATGTTCAACTAGCATCATACTACTGAAGTGGACATCAATTTATGGGCACCAGAAGAGGGTGGTTAGTGCCAATGGGCGCAGCTGGAAATCAACCCCTAGACCGACTAGATGTGGACCGGGCAAACAGCGGCTCCCTGCGGGGAGTTATCTCTACATTATATATGATGTGCCAACAAAAAAAAAAAAAGTTTGGATTTTATGGAGTAAAGAGGGCAGAAGGTGTTTTGGTTTTACATCATGAAATTAAAACCTTGAATTCCCATGTTCTAAGGTGTATGATGGCAGGCAAATAAAAGCACAGCACATGACACAGGTTAAACTTAATGGTTTTATCACTTTCAATCTTGTAACAAAATACACATCTCATGTTTACCAATTGGCAGGGTTCCCCCTCTCGAATCTGTGCGAAGAAGAAAAGGACAGGAGAATACGCACAGCTAGGACACACCCAAACGTGGGAAAGACAAGTGTACAGAGTGGCTGAACTACATACTGCCAGAGCCTTCTTGCTGGCTGGAATATTAGGCAAGGAAACAGGTTTACCAGAAACCTTTTCAAGTCTGACTTGTATATCTACAAGCTACAATAGTCTGCTGAATCCCAATGGACGCTGCCCAGTGAAGCCATGTGCTTTAGGCTTGGGCCTGAAGACATTTGTGCTGGAGAATTCTTTGTGGACCTGTTTTGCTGGAAGTAGCAGCTGTGCATACAGTCTAAAGCAGATTCCATGACAACTGATTGAACAGTCTCGCTATAAAACCCCATTTCCTTGAAAGTACACATATGGCCATTATGTTCTTTAGTAGTAGATGCTCTTTGAGTAGTGTCCATTGGTTGAGTTTCCAATCTCCACTTCCTTCTTATAGCAGTTGGTCAAGAGATTGGCTTTTTTGGTCAGCTTTGTCAGGACAGACAGGAGTCCCTTTATATGGTGCTGAAATTGGTCCACAAGGTCTCCCGTCTCTTCCTCTGGGATGTCCTCTTTGTCGGGGCAGTGTTTCTCCACAATTTGGCTTTCGGAGTGACTTCCCCACTTCATGTCATGCCTTAGAGATTTCAGGAGAAGGTAGGAATCGTACAGGTTCCTGTTTTCTAAGACTTCTTGGGAATTCTTGTGGTCTCCATTTTCCTCCTTGGCAGGGGCTATGTCTTGGAGCATGCTGGGAACCATAATTGTTTCATCCATGATGGTCGTGGCAGTGTTGAAGCGGTGGATGGCGTCCAGCAGGGAGTGGCGCTGGGGACTGTATTCAGACACCTCCATTGTGTAGCCTTTTCCTCGCTCAGATAAGATTTCTGGGAAAGAATTAAAAAAAGTTAGCATTGGCTACAGATCAAAAAAATTGCACTTTTAGAAATAAAACAATGCCATTCAGCTATAGAATATATATATCCACCAAAGAAAGTACCACCAATAGGGGCAGATCACAGTATTAAATATAAAATGGATCACCTGGCAGAGGTTGCAAGTCCTCTACTATCCAGAATATTCTTGTGGTTGACTAAAAGTCTAAGTCTTTGGTCTAAGGCAGTCATTCCCAAACAGGGTTCTGTGAAACTCTAGAGTGCCGCCAAGGTTGCTAGGGGCAGCAGATTGGCCTCATTTGATGGCATCTGGCCACTTAAAGCCAGCTGCATGGCACCAATGATCTTTGTAGCCGTCTGTTAGGGGTCCATTCTTCCCATTGACACCACAAAGTAGTGATTTTTGCAACGGTTCTTCACTGCAACCACCCCCTGAAATTTTTAGGGTTCCTCTGGGGGCAAAAAGGGTTGAAAGAACCAGATCTAAAGAGTCTGTCTTAATCGGTTTATCATGAAAGACAGCCTGTTTGGGTGTGACCTATTTTTGGATACCATACCAGGCAGTTAGAGAAGGATTAAACTGTAGACAGTGGTTACTTTTAGTGTTTTGGGTCTACAAGTAGGAAAATACACTGGTTATCTCTAAAGAGCATCTGTGCAGTGTTCATTAACATATTGCTTTCAAGGTGGAAGATAGGGAATGGAGAAGCTTGTGTGGGCAGTTCAAGGTCTATGCAAATCTTTCACGTTATTGGCCATTATTGTACAGCCAGCCTAAAGAGTTGAAACCCCAACTCCAGCCAAATTAGAGTGGGCATCTTGTGACCCCATGGTGAATATTTCTAGTGACAAAGGCATTGGAAATGTAATCAATGAAGACCAATATCATGAACACTTGAGCAGAATGATGAAACATTAGGAAACTACAGAGATACACATGTCTTGGCAACAGTCATTATTTGTGCTTGTGTGGTCGGAAGAGGAAATCTCCCCAATGCAGCAGACAGACAAAACTTTTTCTGTTCTGGTGGCAATTCAAAAAGTGGATTTCCCCTCAAATGAAACCCTGGTGACGACGGACACCATGACAGTGAATCTCTCCAGCAGGAACACAGCAATGAAACCCCAACTCACTGCTATTTAAAATGTAAAAGATTTAGCTCCAGAAATACATCAATTATAGGATTCTTTTTTTATACCACTTAAGGGGATCCCCATCATCAACTTGAAAAACTGCAACAAAACAAATCAAGTATTTTAACTGCTTAGTTGCAGAGTTTTTTACTTTCCAAATTTTACTCACTTGCAATGCACCTTCCAACTCCCAAAAGTGTTTGACTAGTGAAATCCCCAACAGCCCACTCACATCTTGCAGGTCACACCTCTCCTCTTGCGTGTCAAGTTACTGTCTGTGCCTGCCCAACTCCTTTGCCCCACCCTATACAACCTTTACATAGCTGCTGGAGATGAGCAAAGGGCAATACTATAGAGCATGGATAGACAACCTTGCCACACCACCTGTGGTGAAATTAAATCCAGTACTGCCCATTAGGAGTACTGCAATGCCTTATGGGACCTTTCCCACATCAGCTTGCGTACCAAGGTTACCTACCCCTGCTATGGAGTCACTTGAGTGACAGCTCTGGGTCTGCCAACATCACATCCAAGATGAACCCAGCAGCAGCAGTCTGAAGGCTTTCGTAGGTCTACACAAGGGAAGTTTGTGTAGGTAAACATGCATGAGAGATGCATTTAAATTTGATGGGAATATTTGTTGTAATAATGGTCTGGCAACAGGTCTCTAAACTGTTTGGAGTGCCACACAATTTCAGCAACAAGTCCTTTAAGAGTCCTATAGAAGTCAAGACTCCTAATCGCACTTAACGGTCTACAAATAGTGCTACAAATCCAAGTTCACGTGTGTAAAGATCTCCATACAATATTAGGACGCTACGCATCAAACGCAACCTTTGTTACTGTTCAGGTAAAGCCCTTTATAGGCCAGATCCACACTACAGAGCATTTTTGGCCCTAGGTCTTCCCTTCATTTTTGTCCTTCTATGCTACCCTTCATACCTTGTCTTAGCCAACATGCACCCAGTGGTGGCAGTCCAAACATGCAAACGGCACAAGCAACCAAGTTTTATTCTTCAAAATGTTCCTACTTTAATCCATCCAAAAAATCCAAACATGAAAAGAGCAACAAAATTAACACTGCACCACAAGTGCTCAGGTCTTTTGCCACCCTTTAAGCAAAACCTACACTGCAACTCTTTCTAGAAGATGGGTCCCAACTGACCCAAAACATTGTACTTTGTAAAAGGAGTGGCAATTTTTTTTTTGCACCGTTAATGCCCCATTGAAAGAACTAAAAAGGAAGAAAAACTTTTAGGGTGGAGAGTTGATCCCTTGCACCAGTTTTTGCTGTTTGCATGTTCACTGGATGACAGCCTCTGGGTCCCTAAGAAAAGCACATCTGTCCAAAACCTTTGGTTATTCAGGTTTGACATTCAGGGGAAAGGTTTTTGGAAGGAAGACATTTTGAAGATTGAAATTTGGAAGTCTCTTGTGCCAATTGTTGCTTTTGAAGTGCCATGGTGGGCTTAGTGGGCTGGATCATAGCACAGGGCATTAAATCCCTAAGGAGGTTGGCAGTCATTCTCTATACCTAGTGATTCTATCAAACAAGGAACATTTGTCCAGTCAAGATCTTGTCTGAGGAGATCCAAAGAAAGACTCCTGCGTCATTTAAATCTTCCTTGTTCTTACTTTTACAGCCAACTGCATTTGAAAAGACTGGGTCCTCATTGGAGGACACAAGTGCATCTTCCATAACACAAACGGTGGCACATATGATACTCCCTGCCTTTCCACTAGGCAGTACTTTGTGGTCAATATCAAGGCTTGAGCACCATAAAATAGGAACGGGGTAGTGTGCCTAGCTTTTTGTTCCCACTTTAAGAAACTTAGACAGGACCAGTACTGAATGCTTAGTGTCTCCAGCAAAGGGGCACCATTATCCCTAGTAAGGGCAAACTTCAGGATCTCTTTTAGTTATAACTAGGATGGTGCAACTTCTGGAGTCCATGAGTTCTAAAAGGTCAACCATTATTCACCAGCCAAATAAGATAACATGTTCCCTACAGAACACATTTGTATCCTTTGCTTCTGCAAAAAAAAAATGCAACTCGCAGTTAGATAAGACCTGAAAGACCAAACCAAGACCACAGCAGAGTCCACATATACCAGGATTGTGGAGCTCTGGTGCTTCAGAGTTCAATTCAATACAACCCACCAGATCGGCTTTATAAAAGGGGGTTATGGAACAGAATTTAGAGTTTAATGCGGATAAGTCAGTACAATGATCAGTAAAGAGTGGTCAATATATATAACAGACAAGGAAACAGTGGAGTACAGTGCTTGTTAATGGCATAAACCCCCGCCCCCCCCTGTCTTCAGCCTGCCACAGGTTCAACTGGCAGTTTTGTACACTGCATTAGAAGAGAACATTCTTCATTTAAACCTGTACTCTACCTCTATAGGGGATGACCCCCGTACCTCAGGCAGAGTGCTACAAGGTGGGTGGAAGAGGAGGGTCATGATAGAGGATGGGACTCACACCTGCCTTTTGACAAACTTGTTACTTTGCCTTGAATGATTGGTGGTAACAGGGTGGGGACGATTTCCCTTAGAACCCAAGGTGAAAAACCAAAGTCCATCCCCTTCCCCACCACATGAGATGTAAACATGTAAACTACAGCCGCATAGATTGCATTTCCTGCCCTCTCACACAGACGTACCCAAGGTGGCGGCCTCTTCTGCTTATCCCCCGGCCCCGAAGTAGATTCGGTTCACTCACAAAGGGTAAAGCAAACATTTCACTAAATGGCATTTAAACCTCAGCAATGGACTTCTTATTTGGTCTGGTAAAAATATACCATTGAGAAGAGTTTGTGTATCTGAGAAGTGAAAACACCCAATGAACTTGCCAGAAATCTTGTCAGCTGGGAAAAATGTAAGCATGTCTGGGCAGATAGTACAGGAAGTCAGCCGAGTACCTCTGAACACCTCCCCTCTGTTATGACCAGAGCGGAGGAGTGGGGGTTCTTTAATTATATCCAGTTTCTTTTTTGTCCCAATACAGCCTTGTTATTCTAGGACTAAGGAGTGGATCCTGCCAGAAATCCAGAGAGCCATTACATTCCTGTGCACTCTGCAGTCTTTTCAACTCTGCACAGTTCACGTGTCATCTACAGAGCACTCCCCCTTGTTAAAAAGATAGGGGGGGGATGTACTGTAGTCCCAAAAACCTTACTGTCCTATTATGACAAGTCTGCTGTTCCATATTACACAGTACAGAGTTCCTTTAGCAACATTTCATCACTTCCCAGATACATTAAGCAGGGGGTGAGCAACTCCAGCAGTTATGGAACTACAAGTCCCATGAGATATTGCAAGAAAGCGACAGGCATGTCTCCGAGACAGATGCATGATGGCATTTGTAAAGCACAGCTGGAGGGCTGGAGTTCCTCAGTTTGTTGTTGGTAATTATTTACTCTAAAGCAGGGGTAGCCAAACACTGGTCCTCCAGTTGTGGTGAAACTACAAATCCCATGATGCTTTACTGGGAGTCATGTCTGTGGCTGTGAGAATGTTGCAATGCCTCATGAGTCACTTTAAGTGCAAAAATACAGTACTGTCCTGTGCAATATCAGCAGTATATTAGGACTAGAGAACACTTCCCCCACTATGTTATGAAGAGGGGGTACTCTATAGTAACACTTTCTATACAGCGAGGTAGCACTGCTACTGGAGAGGTGTTTTGTAGTCTTAACACCTTCTATCTTAGGGTGACAACACCGCAAGCAAGTTGTCATCCTAGGACAGAAGTGTCACTGTCATCACAAGGTAAAAAAAAAAAAAAGAGGGGGGAAAAAGCCTGAAATGGGGGAAAAAAAAACAAATGCAACCACATCTGAGGTCCGGAAAGC